CACTGAATTAAGAGAAAACAAAATGCTTAGATACCGATAAATTAATCAGCAAATCTGCTTAAGGCCTTCTTTGTATACTAGTGACTGAGTAGAGGAAACATGATGATTTTCCCAGTATTCAACCTAGAAGAGTTTCTTTCTCAACTTCTCGTGCCATGTAGTCAGGAGAGTACAAATTACTGAAAACTCTGTTTTGCATTCAGAAGCTAGAATCACGGTGCCATATTTCCATATGGGAATTTTAAAGACTACAGTATTTTGATATATGTTAGTGTCAAAAACAATACATATTTGTCCACACAAATTAAAGTGAAATTAATTGAAGAAATTCACTTTGACAATTTCTGTTGTTTTTCTTTTTTTTTTTTTTCGGTTGAAGGGCCCTTAGGACTTATTGTACTGAATATAGATATTAGCTTAAATTTCTTTGTATATGAGTGGAATAATGGGTGCATTTGTTTCACCTAAAATAAGGCAGGGTTGAGGATATCGCGAGAGTTATGTGAAGTTGCCAATTCTGAATTCATTCTACCAGCCATGAAGAGAGGAACTTCTCATCTCACTCATACCAGATACACTATCCTCTGCTAAAACTCTAAGCTTTTCCTAGTTTTTGAGGACAGTTACATATCACCATTGAATCACACTGAGCTATTAATGGTCAACTAGACAGCCGAAAATCCCATGTGCCATTCTTACTTCATGTCTCCCACATTCTGTAGAATTTTGAAGTTAGAGATAGAACTTTATGCCTGTCTTGCTAAACCTGGCCTATTATATCTGACTAAGGGACACTGGATTGTACAATTCCAGAGAGTGCCACTCCTATCATTAACTCATAAGTTTTCTTCCTGAGGTTACACAGCCTCTATGGCCGCAGGTGGCCTTGTCTACCTTTGAATTTTTTTTTTAATCATGGATAATTTATTCACTATAGTGGATGCCCTCTAGTTTAATTAATAATATACCTTAAATTTAATAGAATCCTGTCAAACTCTAAATAAAGTTATTGAATTAGTGGGGTCTTAAAGTACACTTAGGTGATGACATATGGAAGGACAAGAGCTATTGGTACTTTAGGGAGGGTTGAAGACTGAGGAAGTAAAATGATTAATTCTTTTGTGGCAGGTGAAATAAGGACAATTGTGGGAAAATATAAAAAATATTGATAACAAAGTTTTTGCTAGTCTAGGAAGATGAACTTTGACTTTGTAGTAGGCATTTGAAAAAAAAAGGTTTTGGCTAATTCAAATCCCCATTTAGGAGTTGATTATCAGTTTTGTTTTTCTTTTAAGGTTTCCTGTCTTTCATTGGCATGTAAAGAATCTCTCGTTAAAAACAACCACTCTCCTAAGTCATTCTTTCCAGTGGTAATGCTGATTTGGTCTATTGCAAATGAGAAAACCCAAATGAATACAATTTATTTATTTTTATCTACATCGCCTTTGCTATTTTAATAAAAAGAAAGTTCTCAAGTCAAAATAAGTTGTACCTAAAATTAAGCATGTCTCCAGAACAATGACTCTCTATAGTACTGGATCACGGGAGAACTTGTTAGGAATGCAACTTCTCAGAAACTATGAACATGAAGCCCAGCAATGTGCATTCCAATAAGCCCTCCAAGTAATTCTGACACAGCTAACGTTTGAGACACTTTGGCCTAGCAAATCTATAGTAGCTGAGTGTTTCTTCAATAACTAAGCTGCAAGAACTAGGGACCCAGTACTTGGTTAAAGGAAATTGTAATTTCGTTTCAATTTGAACATATTCACTATAAACATGTTTTGTCACATTTCAAATATACTGGCAAGGATAAGTTCTCATATCCACTTTTCCTCTTTATTGCATGTCATATTATTTGTTATCAGGGAAAGACTTTACTGTAATTTAAAAGTGCAACATACAGAAACAAAGCATTGTTACCCTAAGCTCTTCATAAAGAAAAAACTTGAACTATAATCATGCCACCATTTTATTATTTAGTTACTACAAGTTGGACTATAAATCCTCCCAAGTTTAATATCTGAATTTTGATACTACAGATTCATGGTAATATGTTCAGCAACATTACAATTAATACCTGAAAGGAAATGATCCCATATCTATCCTTAGTGAACAATGCTGGGTCTACAAAAGAAAAATGTATTTTAACATTCATTGATCTAGATGGCTTATTAAAACCTCAAATTTTAAAAATATAATCAAAGAGAAATACTGGTATATTTAAATTTTGGGACCTTCACATCACCTAGTAAAGGGTTTTAAAGTAAGTGACCTGGAGAGGTGAAGTGGCTCATGCCTGTAACGTCAACACTTTTGGAGGCCAAACTTGAGTTCAGGATACCAAGACCAGCCTGAGGATTTCATCTGTACAGATAATTTTTTTAAAAATAGCTGGATGTGGTGGCACACATCTATGGTTCCACCTACTCTGGAGGCTGAGGTAGGAGGATTGCTTGAGTCAGGGAAGTTGAGGCTGCAATGAGCTGTAATCACAGCACTGCACCTCAGCCTAGGCAACAGAGCGAGAACCAGTCCCCAAAACAAACAAATAAATAAATAAATAAATAAATAAATAATAAATAAATAAATAATGCTCAGGAGCTTCGGGGAAAAAAAATCCATGAAAGTCATAAAGAATAAAGGGCAAATCAGCTAAGTCATTCCAGGTGCTCAATGAGGAAGCTATATACGCAAACACACACACTCACTAGATAGTTATAAATTTATACTGAAGGGAAATCTTCAACATTTAATACATCATGAATTGTGCATGTAGCTTTTTTCTTTTTACAGATGAGCTAAGCTAAAAGTTACTGTTTTAACAACTTTCACCGTTTTTGAAACAATAATGGATCAATTCCATATATTTTTTCTACTGTGTAAAGCTTAAGATTTCATACTACTCGAATATTTCTCTTTTATTGACTTGCCTCCTAAGCTTCCATGTAACTATATTCCACGTAACTGTTATTTTTCCCTTTCTTATTAATTTATTTCCACCAAAACAAACACGCACGCGCGCTCACACACACACACACACACACACACACAGAGGCGTATTAAGTTATTAGCTTCTCTACCATCCCATCATTAGTTAAAAAAAAGTTGACAGTCCATATTTTAGACATGATTATCAGCTCAATTTAATGATGATTTCCCAGGTTCTTTTCAGATTTTATCTTTCACTGTCAATATTTGTCATCTCCCAAGAAATCTGTGCTTTAATACATGGACAAAACCAACATTTATGGAAAGGCACAGTGAAGGCTACTCTTCGGTTAAAATTAGCTCCATGCAGAATCATCATGGTAGGGTCTTGTTTTGTTCACTGCCAAAGAAAGTTACCTCTAAAAACCTATTACCGTATTTAACTATAACACACAAGAAAACTTTTTCATGCCCAAAGGCAAACATTTTGCATCTATTTACCTTATTTACATTGCAAATTTTCAAATAATGCACAAAATATGAGCCTACATTCAACATCTTTCAACATTCAACATGTGTTGTATAGCAAATATTTCAAGAGATGAATATACTATTGATATTCTTATTTTTATATCCTGCAGAAATGTTTGCATTGTAGAGCTATTCTTAACTTATTACATAAACTTTCCCTGTGCAACATTCCTATTAATGTTAATTCAAAGAACCAATCAAACTCATTTTGCATAAAGTTAAATGAAGAAAGCAAACTTGCCTAGACAAATGGTCTAAGCAGATTTTGTTCTCTAGGGAACATTTGGGAATATATGGATATCACCATAGTGGGAGGGGGTACTATTGGCATCTAGTGGGGAGAGGTCAATAATGCTGATAAAAATCCTCCAATGCACAGCAAATTTCCTCAGGACAAAGAATTATCTGGTCCAAAATATCAATAGTGGCACCTGTTGAGAAATTCAAGCCCAGAGAAAAATAGTGTTCTCTAGGCCAATGTAAATTGGCCATAGTTACTGTAATTTCCATGTTTCCTACTTGAAAAATGAAAGCCTTCCATCATAGCAGTATAACCCTGCAACATGAATGAAATTCACTTTTCTTATACTCAAAATCTCTGTTTCCACTCTAATTCTCAACTCCCAGGGAGAGCTTTCCTTCTAAGTGCAGAAACTATGACTAATTATTACAGACAAGCATTGAATCTTTATTTATTAACTAATATTTTAGCACTGGCATTTTGAATTATGTGGTACATTGCCTTGTGTGAATGTTTAGCTTTGTTAATCACTTTCTTTTTCTGAAAAGGAAGTTATTACATTATGAAATTACTACTCCTTATAAAAATTAGTCATTTCACTATCTATATAATTACTATTCCTAATAAGACTTTTATTTCTATTTCATCACTTTCTAAATTTTCTTGTGATTGAAAATTAGTTGACAAAATACTAAATCACAGTCAAATTTCTAAACAATATAAGCTGTTGATCAAAATATACTTTCCATTGTGCCTTTTAGTTTTTAAAGGCACAATGAAAGGTATGTTTTCTAGAAATGTTTTCTCTAGTGTACATTATGATGTTTTTATTTTTTAGCCAAAGGATGTTTCTAGGCTTCCTTGTCTAGAGATGTCACTCAAAATTTAGTATAATTTGCAACATAAAGATAACAATAGACAAATGTTGCTGTGAATTTATAATTTATCTAGAAATATAAAAAATAAAAAATTGGGAATAATGTATTTTTGTGCAATCTGGTTTCAAGTTTCATTGAGTTATATCCTTCAGTGCTATTTGTAGAATATGGGCAGGTGATACATAGCTGCACTTCCTGTCCCTGAAGATTCTAGGAAAGGCAGTTGGCGTGAAGCCTAATTATTTCTGCTATATTTGATTATAGATACCTTTATTAATACCACAGATACTGCACACCTACAAATTCTGATGATATTTTCATATCAATTGTTACAGAGAAGTCTATAGAAACAACAGGAAAAAATAGTCATGTTCACTCTCCTTTGTGATGATTTCCCTCTACTTTTTTTGGCTAAGAGAATTCAATTTTCCATATATACAAATTAATTATATGATACTAGTTTATATTTTTGACATTATTGTTTGAATTATGACAGCCATTGAGACAATTCAGATCTTGATAATATTCATCTGAATTTGGAGCCTATAAAATACAAATTAAGCCTGCCGACTGCCACATATTCTGATTTCTTAAAAAAAAAAAAATTATTTTTATTTCACTGAGATATGTCTTCAGTGTTTTGAGACTGAAACATATGCTCTGAATAAATAATAGGTAGCACTTAATTGTGGAAATGGAGAACCCTTTAAGTATTGCTATTTCATCAAAATGTTCATCTTTAACTGAATAGATGACCATATTTTAAACATTTGAGTCAAAATATGTTTAGAATTAGAAAGCTAATCAAATTATGATTACCTAAATACATCTAAGACTTGCATTGTAAACCTTAAGGCAGTCTTGAAGGCTTTCAGAGCAATGACTTTTTGCTTTTTTAGTTTTCAAAAATCCTCATTTTCAGTAATATCACCACATACACTTTGTATGATATTTGAAATACTAATCTGAGCGGCTATTTCCTTTAAAATTGCTTTATTTCTCTAGAAAAACTAGAAAGCCAGTTTAGGGGTGTAATTTAAATTTTAAAAGCCTTGTTTAACAAAAATATTTACTGGCATATTTAATATGTTTAAAAATATTATGTCTATTACATCTTCAAGAACAAACCATATTTTCTGTAGAATAAAACTGAGTGTCCCCAATAGTAGGATCTAGCTGTTTATTGGTAATGCATTTCCTCCCCACCTCACCACTGACAATTTTTATGGGAATTCTTATGAATGAGAAGATGAGAGTTTTTTCCCTTCTTTTTTCTTTTTTAAGAATACAAAGCTAATAATAGAAAAAAAAAAACTTCTGATTTCCAACGAAACTGATGAAATAGCTTACCTTCTTTTCTTCTGGATAATCCCTTTGTTCTGGTTAAAACTATAGAACTGTGAGTAATAAATAACTGGAATACACAAAAGTAAAATAGGGATTGTACTGGTATCCAAAATTAATATTTATTTATGTACAGAATTTGGTTGGGTTTATGTATTTTATACATATACAGAGATCAGGAGATTTATTAGCAATTCAGGTAAGTTTTGCTATATGAATAATACACTCAGGCAATTCAATACATATTCTTGCCTATGTTGAATGATGGATGGTTACATTTTACTGTGGATATATTTTGATGATTATATTTCTTCTCAAACAGTTCTAACCAGTTTCTGAGAAAGTATTCCCTTCGCCTAAATATATGCAAAACTATAATTAAGCCAACAGCACTTATAGACAAGCTGAATGGCTTAGGACAGTTGATTTTCTGTGCGTCATTTTCTTCATCTGAATATGAGAGTTGTATATACAGTTTCTATACTTTCTACCAGCTCTGAGATTCTGTTAATTCTAATGAAAAATAAGAGTAAAGACAAATTATACATTGAAATTCTCAAAATCATAGTGAATATTATGCAAGGTAAACAGGTACCTACATTTATCATTTCATTGGTGATCCTGCTTCTATCAAAATTCATGCCTCAAATTATTTCATCTACAAATGTTTCTGATACCCATAGAGCACAACACCTTCAAACATGAACTAGTGGACAGGGGACTTCTGAGATGCACTGTCTCCTTTCTAAACATACTCTGTTTTCTGGGGACATCCAGCATGGAACAGTAGTCAGAGGCCAAGAAACTACAGTTAAAAAAAAAAAAAAAGAAAAGAAAAACAACTGGGAAAAGGGGAATGAGAGGAACGAAAGTAAAATATAGAATTGTCAAAGAGATAAAATCAAGTGGAAAGTGTGGGGACACAGCAATGGGTCGGAGAATAGAAACTAAGTGGGAAATGGATTCAGCGAGGAATCACCTACAGTACATCTTCAAAACTGGGAGCCTGATTCACTGTCAGACGCAGAAGTGTCTTCTTCCCAGACTCTGAGCTCCAGTAGCCACATCTTTAAATTGCCTGACTCCAACAGCTGATTTGGTTGCCACCACATAAATAGAAATTATAGCTTTCAACCCTTCATTTTATCTCTCTTACCTATAATCCTCTAGTTCCAGTCTGTCTGACCACTTGACAAAGGTTTTTTCGTTTTTGTTTTGTTTTGTTTCAACATTATTGCAGCATTGGGAGAACACTTAAATACGTTTTACACATAGAGAACAGTAGACAGCCCTGGAAACCCTAGATGAGAAAAGATATATCCTGCTGGGAACATAAAATAGCACACAGGACACACATTAATGATTCTTGTAATTGTGATTGTCATATGTCTTATTAAAAGCCATCATTTACCTGGAAGTCTTTCTTGAAAAAAAATGCAAAGATGCTTTACAGATTTTACTCAAGAATGTTTCTCAAAGCCTTACTGATCTATTTTCATAGGTATGTTGTTTGGTTAGGTCCTTCAAAGGGCTTCAGGGTTTACTTTTATATTTAAAAAGAGTGAAGATGAAAGCTATTATTTGAATACAGCATTGCATTCAGTGGCACCAAGATGCTTATTACAAGTGCCCCGATGAGACAGTCGAAGCGTCTCATGGAAGCCAGTCTCCTCTAATGTGTATTTTGGTGCCCTGTCTGCTGGTTCGCCTAAGTGATGTGGCATACATTTGATGAAAGGACAGTAAATGACATCAATTATAAAAGACATCTACTAATGAGAGGAAGAAGAGGAAGAGAGAGAGATTGAAGAAAAGAAGAAGAAATTCTCCACAATTGAAACAGCAAAGCCCTTTGATTGAACTAAAAGAAATGACGTACCTTAATGATGCCCTAATTTTAGGGTACCACCAACCAAGCTACTCACTTTTCTTTGGAAACATGACATGTTTCTTCAACTTCTGTACAACTGTCATTGAAGATTTAAATCAATCTGCCTTCAGTTTCCACCATTGATTGTTGGTAATGTTGCCAGAATCTCTGTACAAAACAAAACAAAAAGATATTATGTGAAACTCAGGCCATGCTGAGCAAATTAGCTGAAATTTATTTTTATCCTCTTATGGGGATGTTTTCCAGTTCAACAATCCATAGGGATCTGCCAACTTTTCACATTCTAAATTTTCTCCTTTCTAGGGCTACTAATTTGGTCGCAGAAAACATTTTTTTTTCTCTATAAATAAGCTTTGTCAAATAGCAACCAGAGATTAGTGAAAAGATAAACTGGTTTTGGATATTTCTGGTATACTAATTGAATATAAGGTCTACATTTTCTCTCAATGCATATCCCATGCATAGAAACACTTAAAAATATTACATTAAATATTAGCATAATTGTTAAGAAAATCTAAGATTTTATTCTCAAACATCTTATATAAATATACTTGCTTTTTAATCATCCAGTATCTCTAAAGAGATTTTATCTACCTAATAATAATATTATTATTTTATGTTAACAACGTTCTCCTAGTCTATGATAATAAATTTTCAAATAAGAAAATATTACACGTGATTAAGAAGTGTGATTTTCCCCCTTCAATTGTGCTAAATAAAGATAAACAAATCTGTTTCTTTTCTTTTCAATATTGAAGTATAGAATCCTGATATTTTGTTTTAAAAAAATACTGTAAGAGACTGCTTAGAATTTCTAAGTTTGATGACCTTCTTAGGTTAGTCATTACATATTCTCTCTGCAGGAATGAATTTCTATTACTTACATTTCAAAGCACTATCAATATTTTCATGAACATGTTCTATATTACAATACGTTTTCTTCCCATGGTATTCTATATTCAAAGCTCTAGAGACTGCTTAGGAAGCACAACTAAAGAGGTGTGAATGACCCTGTTGGCTGAAACTGCAAGGAAGTATATTGAAAAGCTTTACATGTCATCCACTGCTGTTCTTGCCTTCCAAGGCAGAGGCAGTGGGCTTGGCAGACTGGGAAAGGGCATAATCTTGCCTGCTTTTTCTGGCTGGATTTTTGGGTCACTCTGGTTCACACTGGCTCACTCAGCTATTCTGTGTACATATACTTAGTAGTTAAATGACTAACAAAGGAAGGATGAGTTAATATCAATCAATCATATAAACAAATATAAATAAATAAAGCAGATATACTTTAATAAATTAAAAGTCATAGAGTATCAGATTTAATTTTATAGCATGTGAAACATTCTGAAAAGTGAACAAATACACAAATCAACTGGTCTTTGGTGTAGTGACTACATAGCTTTGGAACCTTTGGACTGATTTATTTTACTGTATTCACCAGGGACTTCGTGTCCTTATTAATACACTGAACTGTTCTGCATATCAAGCTTGAAAGTTTTAAAAGACAACAAAAGTTTTGCACACTCCCTTCAACTCGACATATTAGTGTTTTGTAGTCAGTGCTGGCTTTGTAGATTTAGTGCCCATTTTCTTCAGTTGGCAAAATTCTTCATATTATAGATAGGTAAACTAAGGCTCTAAAACTCACTGAGATTTCAGAGTAGCTGAATAAGGCTAAAAAGTCCAAATTCCCAAACAAGTGCTCCCATTTGATAAACAAATAGATGAATACTCACATTATTTTAATATCTCAAATGAAATATTAATTTTATTAATAAATATTTTAACTACCTTGTTTAAATACTCCACAGTATTTTTCTTAGATTAGAAATGATACTGAAAATGTATCCTGACATGAATGTTGCTCTGAGACTTAAAGAGTTTGTATAAAACATTTAACAGACATAGGATTTACCTAATATTCTCTTTCCTTTCAATTTCCTTTCAATTATCTCTCATTAGATTATAAAGTAATTTCTCAGTCTCTTTTCTCTGTCTGATCCTCCTATTGACCAAATAAATTTAAGAAATTCAGGAGCTTGGAAGGGGATGAGAGAGAACAAAGTGTGTTGTCGATTTTTAAAAAATTTGTTGTAAAACTTTCTTTTTAATTAAAATGTCCCCAGTGCAATTTCTTGGTCTACTACTCCTGACAGCTACTATTAATTATACTTTCACCTGTTAAGGGTCTAACACTTTCTAAAACATACTAAGACAAGTTTTCTGTAAGTATTGAGCCTATGTGTTAAGAACAAAATGATACTGAATGGATTTGGGTGACTATGTAAGCGGGCAGGAAGAAAAGCGTAACCATCCTTAGTAAATGACAAACTTTCTTTGTCTCCCAGTCCTAGGCTTTATACCTACACACTGCCTGGTGTGGTGTGGAGGCCGAGCAGACGGCCTTCACTGTTAGATGCCAGAAGAAGGGACTGCAGAAGCCAAGGCCCTGGGCACACAAGCTAAAACTTGCATGCTTGGCAAGGCTCAGATGCCAAGGTTTGAATCTCTAATAAACCACTCGCTGCCTCTCCAGTAATGATACCCTGGGGCTGCTGGGAGGGGATTCTTTTTATAGGAAACATACTCATAAGGATTTAATATTATCTTTCAGAACCCTTTGATTTAATGGTGTTTTTTTAAAAAAAACTTTTCCCCCTTATTTTGTAGACCCTGTGATGTGAGCCAGTGTTAATTCCTAATCCAACAGTAGTATATAATCAACATCTCTCTACTGAGCTCAAGATTCCTTTTCCTTTTTAGCCATGTGCTTAAAAAAAATTTAAAATATCTTGCCACTGAATGTCTTTTTACAGACTGAAAAGACTTTTAGGTTAAACAACATTTGTTAGGCTTTGATGCAATCAAATGCAATTTCAATCTTGAATTATTCAGCCCTGCCTCTCTGAAATTGCACATATGTGTCAGCTTTCAATTTTTCTCACTAGTGTTTTACACATGAAATCTATTTTCACTGAGAAAATGGAATCTTTGTGTCTTTGTCTCTAGGAGCGCTGCTTTCAGGCATGTTCTGGCAGGGGCTTTGACTGTCTAGGCACTGGGGGAGGGGCCTGGCAGTCATTTGTCAGCTTTTCTTGCATCTGTAATTTCTGGCCACTCAGCAGTATTAGAAGGTCTTAGAAACGGGGTGAGGAGGGTGTGGGGAAGAGCTTGTCATTGATGAAAGCCAAACCCCGAATAACTGCCCAATGTTAATGACCAAAGAGAGAAGGGAGAGTCTGAAAAACTTTTATTGTGCTTTAATGAAAAAGACTTTTTGGAAATGGCTAATTTACAAAATTGCACATGGTAACATTTTCAGATCTCAGTTTAGAAAGCCCCTGTCCATATTGTGTTACCGATTTCATTGCTTTTAGCTTGGCAAGGGCTCATGAAACTATTTTAATTTTCCACCAGTGGCTTCTGGTTATTTCTGCTCTTATTTCCTTGTAACAAAACTGACAGCCCAATTAAACATCTGCATTTTTTAATCTGAATTTCCCCCATAACTATTTTGCTTTTCTTCTAAAACTTCCAGATGTTTTGGTTCCTTTATGATTTTAATGCATGCGAGTATATTTCTTCCCATTTCAAAGAGAGAGAGAGAGAGAGCTAGAGGGACTGACCAGATGTTTCTATATGAAAAGCTTTGTAATACACCAATAATCAGGTCAGTATTTTTGTCTCTTTATGAGTATATTTACATTAGAATACATCTCATTGTCTTTGAGCACTTTACAATTTGAGTCGATCTATGCAACTTATTTTTGTGGGCCATTAGATTTCAGAATCCACATTGTGATCTGTTAGTTAATCCTTGTGGCAAAGGAAGAAAGTAACCCTCTGTTATCTCAGTATCTAGTAACAGGGACAGAAGCTACTGTGATTTGTTTCTTATTACTTGTCTCCCCTCTCCCACTTCCCACTCTTGTGGGAGATAAGAAGTTGTAGGTTATGTGAAGCAACAATGTATTTAAATTCATTTTCCAGATTTGTGCAAACATTGACGGAATCATCAATATCTTGCCTTGAAGTATCTGGACAAGAGTTTAAAGAGTCTCTTGTATATTTCAAGAAAACCTGTTTCCCTTAATTAATAACAGGAAGCCTGGTAAACAGACTTTTGCTGACAAATGAAACTGAAACAGTAACATATACACAGAAACATGGGAAAAGAAAACAATGCAGCATTGTATGGTTATTCCAGAAGAGTAGCTCAGTTCAGATACACTTATGCAATACTCACATAAAACCCCAAAGACAAAGATTATTAATCGTATATTTCTGACCATGTAAACACATGCTTGCAGAGTACAATTATTTATCCCACTGCTTACTATTTGAAAATGATCTCTGGCTATTTAGACATTTAACATTTAGGCAGAAAATCATTATTTCCTGGAATATAGATTTTCCAGACTATCAAGTAAACATGAAGAAAAACAATCTTTATAAAAACAAAACAAAACAAAAAACAAAAAAATTATTAGAAGATTGTAAAAGTCCATTCTTGCTGCATACTTCTGGAAATGCAATGGGAACACGTAATAAGATAATTTTAGTGTAAGTTTTTTTTGGGGGGGAGGAATGTATATCCTATTTGGGTAGTGTATATTTATGAGGTGTCGGGCATACTAAATGCAACAGTCATTAATTAGAGAGTTCACTGTGCAACTTGACCCACTTGTGCTTAAAGCTCTGGACAATGCTGCCCCTGGAAGGAATGGGTCTTTATCTTCCAACTGTATCATAGAATGGGAACTCACTGATCCCAATATTGACCTTGACAGTAGCAAATTGAGGTTATACGTAGTGTCCCTGCTTAGAAACACTGAGTTTGAGTTTAAAATTTTTGTTTTGGTTTTTAAAAAAGAATTAGTTGCTTAAGTTACAGTTAACTATTAGGAATGAATTGCTTGATCCTTAAGTGATTTTTAAAAATTACGTGTTAAAGGTGATTAGCTGAGAATGGTTAAATGTAAAATAAGCTTAAGCAGATATTTATTTCTGTTTATTTTAAGATGAATAAGCGAATAAGCAACAAAGGGGAACATAAGAACATGCTTTTTTTAAATGATGTATTATATTGCACATTAAAGGATGTATTTTGATGATTCAAGAGTAATTAAAAGACCTAAACTGTGCTA